CACACACACACACACACACACACACACACACACACACACACACACACACACACACACACACACAGGGGGAAAAAAGCCTGCAACATTCACTATCAGTATAATGAAAGTCTTTATTTTTTCAGGCTGATTAATGAGAATTTTACAGCGACTTCTGTCCTGTTTTTTACAGAAGAACTCGGTGTAACTGTTCCTTTTAGGGCTCGTTTTGTTCAGGCGTCGCTGAAACAAAACAAAACCTGAATTCTCATCGAGTGAATTTCATAAATATACTGTAAGAAATCAGAAAAAAATACAGATTTTTGATCAAAAGTAAATTTTTATAAGATTGTAGGATACTTGTGCAGATAATATTTCAGGTAAGTAATACACTTGCACAAACTGGCTCCTTATTATGATTAACGAGATGTGTTTCTTTAATTTTCACCTGAAAATAACAATAATAATAATAATAATGTCTTTATTAAACCATTCCTAAATGAACCAGATGGAGCCTGTCAGAGTCGTCATCATCCTGAAAAAAAAAATCAGAAACACTTTGTTTCAGGAATCTGAAAACAGCATAATTTAAAACCTATTTCATCTCCAACAGATARTTTAGCTTTCACTAATGCTAATTTACACTTTAAAGAACTGTTTTGTGTTATTTATTATACATACTCTTAACTATTAGTGAAATTAACTGATTCAAAACTTTATTTTTCGTGTAAATGACTATATACGGTATATCAGTTAGGAAGTTTGACAAGCTAATAAATTATTAAACAAATATGTTTCTAAATGATCACCAAATGTAAATAAGTAATGAAATTACTTAAAATTTATAAACAACCCACATCATATGTGAGTGAAACTAGTACAAACTGAATGACTTAGATTATAAAAACAATGAATTTCATTGTTTCAAAATGATTAGGGCTGAAAATACAAAAAAAGTTGGAAAATGGCAAAATCTTAAAAAGCCAAGTTCAATTTTACAATTTCAATTAAAGTTATTTTTAAGGAAAATAGGAGAATTGTTCAATGCTGAGCTTCTAAGCTGTAAAAAAAGGAAAATTTGATCTTTTAAATGCTTCAAAATGTGCTTATAAAGACTCTAAGGTGTTTTTCCTCAGGCTCTGACTGACGACGGCATCACTGTTATTGATTTTCTAAATGATCCTAAAGACTTGATGTGATCCACAGAGAGTCAACTTACGTTTCCCCCGTCTGTGTCACGTCTGCTGCTTCCTGCAGAACAAAAGGAGAGGACAGAGCGACGCTCCGGTTAACCAGCTGTGACACTTCAGACACGCACAGCCCCGCAGCGCGGCGCTGCACACGCAGCCGAAGGCTCGAGCTCGTCACACGTTCGTTTGTTAGCTTTACCGAATGTAAACCGTTGTCACTCACACTGATCGCTCCGGCTTTGAGCTCAGCGTTAATAAGGTTGTGATTGACGTTAAAAGCCCGGCATGCCTAAATCACAATATTTAAGACGCTGATGCAAATTTGCCCACAATAGCCCACGGTCTGGATTATTAAACCACAGTAATTGAGTGCCCAGACAATTGTGTAATTACATAAAGAACTGAGTTATGAAATGTAAAGAGCGGGGAGGGGATGTTTTTCTTAAAGGAAGTTTCCTAAATCAGCTGGTGGTCATCATGAACGACACCTGAGGTCTACAGAAAGGTTTAAACCAGAACTGAGCAACTCTGGGTCCCACAGGGCCACAAACTAAACTGGAGCTGGTGCAGTGGATCAAACCAACAGGCAGACAAATAGTTATTTTATATATAGCTGTAAATGATGGGTAACAGAGTGATAAATATCTGAGCATACTGAAAATTTAAACTTCATATTGAACATCGAAAACTGCACAAAAAACTTTTTTTTGCCAAAACAAAATGTTTTTTTTTATTGAACAAGTGAACTGAAGTCATAAGATGATGAAGATGAAAGACAACTGCAAGTGAAAGGAGAAGATCTTGATTTGTTCACATGTGTGGAAAGTTTTCCTCTCTTTTCCTTTTCTCTCAGAGCACAAACAGTGTGATAAACTCTCCCATCATTGATCTTTATTATTTGCAAACGATCACAAAGCAGTCCTGACTGCTCTGCTGCTCTGTGTCAATCTTGAGGGAGAGGTCTTGTTGATTTTGCAGTTTGAAAACTAGAGTTTAATGTGCACGGTCTCTACTTCTCTGCGTGTTTAGTTTGATTTAAGTTGTAATCTTAACAACAGCGATCCACAAACTGAACTTCCTGTTTTGTGTCTTCAGTAAATAATCATTTAGAAATCAACATCTTGTTTAAAGCTTTCTCTTTAAACACAGTCAAAACTCCACTAACCAGGAGAGAGACTGCTGATGCTGCTGGTGTTCACAGGCTGCTGACCTGAAAACACCAGTGCACCTTCAAATTAAAAGCAATATCAAAGCCAGTTTCAAAATAAAAGCAGAATGATTTAGATTTGTTTGAAGATGATTATTCATTGAGCTCAGCAGACCGGGGGGAAACTGCTAATTGATGTGGTCCGCAGGCTGTAAGACGCCCATGTCTGGTTTAAACCGCAGGTCTGAAACTGACATCATGAACATTATTACGTCTTATTGATCATAACAAACACTGAGTTGTCTGCAAAATCAGCAGCAGCACAGATGATGGTCTGATTTTGGCAGTAAATTCTCCTTTTTAGAGAAGGAAAACATTTTAATTCACAGGTAAAAATTTGATTATTTTGCAGTTTACAAAAGTTTTACATTTTTATCCTCACAATAAATCACAAGCCCTCAAATATCCCTAAACATCCCAAAAACAGAACATCTACAGCTCCCTTATGTCTTATGTGTGAGTAAATGCACCTGTTTGTCTCAGAATCCTGAGAAGATCTGGGCTGACGGTCACCTGGATGGATTCTGTTTGAGGTCTTCTCTGATTGGCTCCGTCGGCGCTGAAGAACAAGAAAAATATTTACTAAATGAAGTTAGCACATACCACAAAGTTTAGCTAAATATCTGTAAAAACTCCATCCATCCATCCATCCATCCATCCATCCATCCATCCATCCATCCATCCATCCATCCAACCATCATTTTCTGCTGTATCCAGAGTTGGGTCACAGGGTCAGCAGTTTGAGCAGGGACCAGACCTCTCTGACCCCAGCCACCTCTTCCAGCTTTTCTGATGGGATTCCAAGGCTTTCCCAGGCCAGCTGAGAGACCTGGTCTCCCCAGCGTGTACTTGGTCTTCTTGAGTCCGAAACAAAAATACATTTTTGCCGATCTCACACTCTAGTCTTCCCTCACTCATGAACAAAACCCCAAATGGCTCCTCCACTTGAGGCAGAACCTCACCCCCTGACCCGGAAAGAGAAACCCACCCTTTTCCAACTGAGGACCCATGGACTCGGGTTTTTAGGTGCTGATCCTCATCCCAGCCGGTTCACACTCGACTGTGAACCGCTCCAGTGAGAGCTGCAGATCACGGCACGATGACACCAACAGAATCACATCATCTGCATATAGCAGAGTAGAGTCCTGAGGCTCCAAACCAGACTCCCTCAACTCTGTCCATAAAAGTTATGAACAGAATCGGTGATACGGGCAGCCCTGGTGGGCTCTCTGTAAAACCTGCTGGGTTAAATCCATTTTAGTGTTGATTGAGGTTAATTAGTTGTGGTGGCCATCTTGAATCAAGCTGACCTCAAAAGCGAATAGACGTATATTCAGTGATATGTTTTTGAGAGTTGAGTTTGCTACCAGACAGACAATTACATTACTGTCCGGCTTTTATGGAAGCAGGAGGAAAATATAACTGGTAAATGTTTGTCTCTGTTGGTTCTGAGCATCACAATAACTTTGGCCTTCACTGAGGAGAAATGAAAATGGCTTCTGCTCTCGTTGCTCCACTGACAGAGGAGTATGTGACGAGCAGCGGAGGCCAACAGCCATCAAAGGAACGTTGGGACGCTTCCCAGACTTCCGTCTCGTTGTCTCTCACTACTCCGAGCGCGGAGTCGGATTTGGAGAATGCGGGAAATCTGCGAGGAGCCCCCGAATCGCCATTGTGCTCGTCTCCCTCTCTTTCTCTGCTCTTTTCTCAGCGAGCCAAACGGGAGAACGCCCGCGCTATAATGCCTCCCCTACTCCAGCTCGGCTAAGCTGCCACTGGCTTCACATGAGAAACAATGAAACTTCATTGGAGACCAGATTACAAAAGGGGAGGGGTGGGTTTGATATAATTTTTTTCTAAAGCAGAGGGGGGAAGTTTTGAGATTAAAAAAGCATGGTCTTTGTCTTTTCCTCTCTGTGGCCATTGTGTTTTGGGAAGGTTGGGAATCTGTTTTCTTAGCCTGTGTSATCAGTTCTGAGGAAGACCTGGGGTATCAGTATTTTGGCTGCCAAATCGGCCTCTTTACCACTCTATTTCCTCAGCTCGTTCCTTTAACTGTTTTAAAAAAAGGCTTAGGACAGAATTTCTCTCTCTGGACTCAGCTTGTTTAAATTGGCTGATAGGAGGGGATTTAGGGTGGATGGCAGAGGCTTAGAGTGGAGGGGTTCATCAGTGTTACAGTCAAACAGCCATAAAACCTATGAGGATGAAAAGAACAACAGTGCTTTTTCAACTAATGCACACAAATCTCATATAAATACTTTAATATGTTAGTTGGGGTTTGCGCCTCCTTCACTTCCCTCCACCACTCAACAAAGACTGATGCTTAAATGATTTTCTGCTGGGGTGTTTCTTAAAGCATCTCCTTCACGCCGTGGTTTATGAAGGAGGTTAAACAGTGGGGAGAACGGACTGGTTTATGTTTTAAATCTGCCTCTGGGAGCACTGGAAGCATACAACCCAGAACCAGAGTGGCTTTGACATTTGAAATCATGCAGGGAGTTTCAGGCTTTCAGGCTACAGCTCGGTCATTTGGCCACAAACGCTCGATTCATAAACAGACGGCGTTAAATCGCTTCGAGAGCTGACATGTATGACTAAAACTGACAATGAAACATCTGTGTCTGGAGGCTTTATTTGTAGCGAGTGGAACTAAATACGTTGGCTAAAATCAATAGTTTTGTAATAATGATGTGTGAACTGACAATGCTGAAAAGCAGCTCCTAAATCTGCAGCTCTGATAATTTCACAGCTTTCGAGCAAGTTTCCACCACAAACGTCTTGTTTCTGTCAGACAAAAAGAACACAACTGGCACACACTGTAGGGTTGGACAAAAATCGCATTGTGTGCAATTAATTATCAGAAAAATATGTCAACAATTACTGGACCAGCTCTACACCCTCAGCAGGGTCCTGGAGGGTGCATGGGAGTTAGCCCAACCTGTCTACATGTGTTTTGTGGACTTGGAGAAGGCGTTCGACCGTGTCCCAAGGGGGGCCTTGTGGGGGGTTCTCCGGGAGTATAGGGTACCGGGCCATTTGATACGGGCTGTCAGGTCCTTGAGCGACCGGTGTCAGAGTCTGGTTCGCATTGGCAGTAAGTCGGGCTCGTTTCCGG